CTGGTGTCTTGCTCCATGGGCTGCAGTCGGCGCATGTGCAGGCGCACGCGGGCCTGGAGCTTGGCTGCCAAGGAGGTTTAACGCAGTCGATTCCGTGGTCTGAAAGTCTGAAGGGAACACGTGGGTTTGACCGTTTGACCATGAAGGTTCTGCCGAAATAGGTACCTGCGGTACCTGCGTGCCAGTCTGGAGGAGAGAAGGTGAGGGCATTCGAAACCTGCCGCTTCTGGGCGGGCTTTCAGGAAATTCCGGAAAGGATTGGACAAACACTGATTCAGTAGGCAGGGGATGAACATAGCTGCATAGCTGTATCTCTGAATGTGTATGTCAAAGCTAGGTGGCCACCCTTGTGGAGGATAAAGGGAATGATGAACCTAAATGCTGGCAATCTATATACTTTGCAATATAGGGTAACCGGTGGCCGAACTGAAAGCTAGCTGCATACAGCGGAACAGATTTGTCAGCATTTGGTTTGCGCAGAAGTCAAGGATTGATCAAGGACTCATACTTGGCCTACCTACCTCCGGCCAATACCGTGGTCAAAATCCTGCACAGGTTGGTATGTTGTTGCCCCAGCATTTCTAGGACATCATCCATCCAGCAACTTTGTTCAGCGGAAAGAGCAAGGACGGGGATACTGGATCGCACGTTCGTGTGCAAACGTGGCGCTCCATGGGTTTCAGCCAGAAGTTAAGGCAGGCCACCGAACGCAAAGCATGACAGCTTCCAAGCGAATTCCCTCTAGATGCCTCTTGGGCGCGGGGACAAACCAAAGATGGGGATCCTCCATTTGCGAATATGTACCGTGGAAAGAAAATCAAGAAATACTTCCAGCGATAGATTCCCTTCAAAACGAACAGGCGCAAATAACAAACGTACATGGGATGACCATTGCAAAAGACCGCTAAAAAGATGATGTGTTTCCCGCACGGGAACAGTTACCCATGGTCACGAAAGGGTGCCTTTCACGGAATATTGCTCAACCCCTACTTGGTCCTCCAGTAGAGAGGCTGGAATAAGGGTACCCTTTTTCTGTAGTCTATCTTAGTAGGGGAACCCTCCCCCAAAAAAGAAGCGGTAAAAGAGCACCTAGCTGGGGGACCTAGCCTACCTCAAGGCGTGCCAACCTTGGCGCGACATTTGGGTTCTGAGCTGCGCCTGGGGAAGTTGCACTGCCACGAAGCCCTCGGAGTCCGCCTGGCCGTGGACCAACCGATACACAGCCGTCGAGAAAGGTTTACCCAGGGGACCCAGAGGACCCAGAGGACCACAAGGTTCACCTTTTGGGGCCACTGGAACATGGCAAAACCAACGGGTCCAAAATCCAAAAGGTCGAGTCGAGCCTCTCTTCAAAGGGGGCCCCGGGACGCACATTTTCTAACAAACGAAGCTGCCTGTATGCGTATATCGAACAGCCGTGGCTCAAATTGGGTACCAGCTGGCAGCCCTAAGGCGAAGGCTTTTGTGATGGAGCCTCGGCACTTCGCAAATAAGCGCCAGCTTGATATACGCTGAGGTCGCGAACAAGTTTTAGAGGAATCGACATGCAGCACCCAGGTTTGACACACGCCCACAGAAGTAGGGTTGGCAATGAATAAGCTAGGCACTGCTATCAAATACATTGTGTACCACAACGCTCACTCTCTCTATGCTAGGTGGCCCAGATACCAGATATGGTTTCATGACTCTTGGTTCCACACAGTTGTTTCTGGGAAGACTGCTCAGGGTCTAGCATCACACTTCCCTCGATTTACCCTTCTTCAGCACCTCCTAAATGGACAGTTTGCTCTCCACCGGCGTGCATTTTTTGTGGATGAATGGCCATGAAGCTTTCCCTTGGCCCCAAAGTTGTCCGCGGCTCTGGCTGAAGGGGGGAACTTGCTTGCCGGTGACAACCCCCAGAAAGGCTCAAAATACTGGGCTGATTGTTTCCAAACACTTTGGGAGGTTCGCAAACAAACAAACGTTTCGATATGGATGTCTTCCTTTAATCTTATGTTGTTCCAAAGGTGAGGTTTTAAACTACCGGATGATACAGCAATCAGTCAAAAATAGGTACCCTAAATGGAGCCCTGGTAAATGGAACCAAGGACTGAAACCTGCGGTTTTCAGGTGGTTTTATTTTGACCCATACCCACATGGGATAAGTTACCCAGGGTCAATTTTGGGGCTGAAAGGAACGTTCATCCCCATGTGCGGAGTCGGCCTTGGAATCACCTCACCCACCCGACCAAGACTTCACCCGAAAAGCCAAACATAAAACTTCCCCCGACCAAAGCGTGCTTCCCGCCGAAGCCGCGAGTCCAGCCGTCGCCTCGCCCAGCAAGCGGCCCGTGAGGCCGTTCAGCTCCGGGCGCGAGCGGAGGCCCTGCAGCTGCACCGACTCCTCGGGTCTGGGGAGCCTCGGAGCGGAAGGCCACTCGATCGGCACGGGACCAAGGCCACGAGAGAGCCAGGGCTCACTTTGGTTTGGTTGTTGAGTTGGGTTCATTGGTTGGGTTGGCTGGGTTGGCTTGTTTCCCCTGCAAAACGTTGGATCTATTCACTGGTTTCCCTTGAAACCACGGCCACATTTGGAGGTTGAAAGGGAAATGGAGGAAACCCAATTCAGGCAAAGTGGTCTCCACAGGACATGCTTCTACCCCTGAGATAGGAGGACCCCTTTTTAAGCAACCAAACGCTTGCCCCAGCCGAGATTCTGAGTAGGATGTTGGTTTTGGCGCCGTTGCGTGATTTGTTTCAACATGGCAAATGCGTTGGGATGAGGCCGACGTGTTTGCTTTGGATGTTAGGATGGTGGTTTGAGATGTGAAGGGGTCAAGTCTCAGTGGCAAGCTTGTACAAATGTATGTCGTGTCAGTGCAAGCTTGTCTCAGGGCGCACAGTATATATATATATATATATATTACTGTTTGCCCTGGGTGTCCGAAACTCGTGAACGCCGACTAAGCAAACCCAAACAACCGACCTGCTCGGTCCCAGCAAGCCCTCAAAGCTCCAAAATGCAACCCAAGCTCCCAAAGTCTAGGATTCAGATTCTTGACACTCATTGATCATTCCGATTTCTCACATCGTCAAAATGGGAAAGAACGCGTTGTCTTGATTGAGGAAGACGGAAACAATCTCATGATGTACGAAAACAAGCAATGAAGTTTAAAGCCTCAAACCTCTGCATGAGATCTTCTGCTATGCTGGGCTAATTGGAAAAGCCCACTGGTTTTTGTGCCTCACTCAGTGAATCCTATCTCCGCCAAAAAATCACGATACGCCTTGAATGTCATTCTGTTCACAAGGCTCAGCGATTGCTAGTGGACATGACGGCTACGACCTCATGGGGTTTCCTCCACATCTCGTGACACTCGTGACCCAATTTCTGCCTGTAGGGCAGGCTCTGACTCGACCTCAAGGAGGACGCCTGGCAGGAGCCAAGTTGCGACACGAGAAGTCGCGACTTCTAAAGAAGCAGATCTGTGGAATGACAACTTAAACCTCCCTCCTCAAGGATTTCATCAATGACCCGCAGTTTCACTTAACTAGGAGGCAACGTCCTGCCACTCTAACTTCCAAGCCAGCCTCCGAAAGCTAAAGTTTGAGCTTCTGGACTGTAAGCCTTGCTGTCTCAGTCTAAGATCAGATCTGAACTCTAAACTAATGACCTTTACATCCTCAAACTTGCATGACTACACATCCCTCTATAATGCATGTAGAACCCATCACCCTGTGCATAGCTCGATTCTTGGGCATACAACTATCCCAAGTGCAGCCGTTGTTCGTGCAGCGCCCACCAAGCCTCAGCCTGTACCCCCAACATATTGGGCGGCTGGGCGATTTAACTCAAGCCATTCTCAAGCCATTGGATCCGAACTCCACTTCGGCAACAAAGCGCCGGCCTGTGCCGCGTCCAAGTTGTCTGCCTCCGAGGTGATGCTCATCACGTTGCAGGCCTTCGCAACTAGGACTGGCGAGAGCACCCAGCCTTGAGGCTCTTTAAACATGAAATGCTTAGTATAGTCTACAAGGAGCCAACGACGATTGGTGCATTGAACTTGTATTGGCATTTTGGAGTTTGGAAACCCTGGGAGATGAGAGAAGATCATGTCTTTGCCATGAAGGCGCCACCACTACACTACCTGCAATGTTCCTGCTGGAAATGCTGGAAACCTCTTAGCAGGTGGGTTTGAAGAACCCTTTTTGAGCGGATTGACAGGCATTATATTAGTTAGGATCATACACAAGGTGGCACCCCCAGAATTTGTTGACTGTCACAGTTCCTGGAGACAACTTGGCGAGTGTGTCCCTTGGGCTGGAAAATGCACACCTGCGTTGGCCCCCAAGATCATGGGACCAAGTGTGGTCTCGCAGGGCTCTTGGCAGTTGTGTGGGGTGTGAGCCGGGTGACTGCGATGAACAATTACAAGGGGATGCCACAAGGAAAACAGGACGCAGCATTTTGAAAATTGCGTGAGGAACTCACACGCAAAGCCAAACGGCAGTCGTCTCACATGGAAACCTTGTGGGGGTTTCATAGGGTTTAGGTGAAAAAGGTCTTGGGATTAAGGTTTAGGGTTGGTTCCTGGTTCTTTGAAACAGGGGTATGTTGCTGCTCACTCTCCGGGACATCGCTGTGGCAGCCTGGACTCCATTTTTGCGTGCTCTGATTTGCAGCAGATTCCAAACATGCGACTGCACCTGGGTATGGGTCAAAATTAAAGCACCAGGGAACCGCAGATTTTGGTCCATGTCTCCATTTACCAGGGCTCCATTTTGGGTACATATTTTTGACCCACAGCCACATAGGCAATGGATGCGCTGGCGCAATGGAATGGTGGCCTGATAGTCACAGGCAGTCGCCAAGCTTTGCTGCCGGACTGCTTGGGCATTTCTCAAAACTTGGGTCCCATATACTCCTTAGTATAAGAAGCCCTAAAAAGGACCCGTCATGTTGAGCTGCCAAGCGAGTAAGAAACTGCTCACCTACGCTCATAGCGCCTTCCTTTTCGTCACTCCCTCTTCTGGTCCAACACCTCTTTGGCCTCTGCGATTTCTGTCAGAACCTTGTCCACATCATCGTCGGGACCGCATCCCAATCTATCCCATCGAGCAAGATCTGTTTCCAATCCTTTCGTCTTTGTGTCAAGCTCCCTCGCATGGCCCTTGTCTATCTTGTCATACTTCTCGAGATTCCTCAGGTCCTTGTCCAGAACGGCCCGTCGCTTCATGATGCTCTTCTTCACATCCTCGCAGGACACAGATCTTCCGCCACCACGAGCATGCAAGGCCACATTAGGCGACGTCAGGCCGGGAGGCCGCGGGCACGTGGTCATGACTGGCACCAGCTTGAGTATAAAAGCCGCACTGGACAACTGCATCGAGCCACACAGCCCAGCCAGCAATACCATCACTGGCCGGGGTGGAACGCTGCCATGGCGACGCTCACATCCCATCGCGTCTGTCTATGAACAAGCTTGCTGTGTCTGGCCCAGAAGCACCTGCAAGGATAACCTCTGCCAAAAACTCCGCGCACGAAAAGCATATCATGAGCTCAGGGCGGAAGCAAACAGGACCCTTGCCATGAACGCAGGTCTGCTGGCCCCTGCTTCGATTATATTACCCGAAAAACGGGAAGATGTAAGCATTGCATTGATGCTGCTTGGTTTTGTATGGTCTTTCCTTGGGGGGTATAACCCGGGTCACCTGGATTCCCCGTTGCCAAGCTTGAGGTGTGGGGCAGGCATATAATATTTGCCCAACTAGCGCCTGGGATGATCCACCTACCGCTTGTGCCTTTCGGCCCCTGCTCAGCTAGCCCCAAGCAATCCTTTTTCGTCGCAGAAAGGGCAAGGAACCAAAAGCAATCCATGTTCAGGCATCAAGCGACCAGTCCTTTTTTGAATGTCTAAATGGAAGTGTTCCTTTGGTGTGAACTCATTGCTTGGCGGCCCTCCGTGTACTTCTTGCGCTTCCCTACGAAAGTTATAGACCCGAATCTGCCAGGCGAGGACCTAGCTCGATGGAAAGAAAAAGGATCTGGTTGCGAAACCTGTTCTGCTTTTGGACATCTCAACTAAGAAGGGCCATTACTCTCCCTACACGGCCATCCTTCCAAAGACCCTCCCGCAGGTAGATGGTTGGCTTTCCGGCGCCATGACCTGTTTTTAAGGGAGACCAAAGAAGGTGCTTCAAACAACAGTTCTGTGTATGCATATTCAAGCAAGGGGTCGGTCCAACCCTGACCACGACTATGGCAGCTTGCAAAAAGCCAAAGGTCAGATCTGGTTGGCAAGCCGACCACATTTGGTCTAAGCACGGCTTGTTTTGTAGTCAAGTGGGTCCCAAATGGGAAATCATTGCATGCAGTCACCGGTGGGGACAACATCGGGGGCTAAGAAACCATCAAACATTTGCGTTCCCCCCGCCCCCCCACACCCATCCCCGTTGGCGCCTCGCTTGGCGAGAATAAAGGTGACCCCCACAACCGGATATGCTTGGGCGCTGGCGCCCGAGGAGTAATGTGCAGTTTGGATTTGAGTACGGAACAAGCATTTAACAAAAGGCTCAATCTTCACTTTTGATGTGTACACAGAGTGAGATTCTGAACTTCTGCGGTTCAATCTGCCTTGCTCGATGTCCAGTTGCTTTCCTTTTGTTCTTACGGGGCCAATACGTCATTTGCCAATCATGACGATTTCACTTTGAAGTCAACAGCTAAATTTGCGATCACCTCAAGCAAACGGATCTTGAGCATGTTTGTCAACTGTATAAGAGGTGAAGTCGCTCAAGTCGCGCGACTTGAGCCTAAGCAGCGAGCGGAAAGAACCTACCTGGCCCGCGAAAGTTCACAAGAATGGCTCGACCCGTTTTGGGTCCTGGCGCCCATCAAGGTCGGCTGGCCTAGTTTGTTCCCAACCGGGAAATGTCTGCGTGCCATTGCTGAGCGCATGTCGACTTCAGTCTGCGTACTAGCAGCAAAAGTTTGAGTGGCTCAGCATGTCTTAGCTTGAGTATGCCAGGCACTGATCCCGAAAAGCCTGTTGTTTGGATGCTTCCGAAGATCTTGCTTCTGTTCATGCCTCCTTAAAAGGCAAAGCAAGCAAAAGACATCCCACAACATCCGGCATAGAACAAACGACTACGAGCCCTGATCCGATGAATTTCCTTGGCACTGGCTGCTGCAGAACCTGAGGCAGCGTCTTCTTGTCTCGACTCCGACTCCTCTCAGACTTTTCTCGGTACATCCGCGTCCTCCAGGAAAAGCCGGCCGCAAATGCGAAGCCAAAGATTTAGACTTTGGAGGGTACCCCTGGTTGGTGGCTTCAAAAGCATACTCAAAGGAAAACCGTTTTGTCATTTGGGGGTCCGATTTCTACAAAAGACGAACCACCTATTGACCCTCCCACCAAATTGGAAGTGCACAGTTGCTCCCAATACTTCCATTTAATCGGGGAGTACAAGCCTCCACGTCCAAATCGGGGCAAGAGCTGCATGTTTCCACGGTACACACCTGAAATGTCGGTGTCGGGGTAAGTAATTGGGGATAGTCAATAAATATACATAAGTAGAGGATCGCTGTCAGGGATGAGTTTGTGGGAATGGCTCTTCATAGGATATGCAACCAGCAAAAAGCTGCTGTGCCTCGGGCTTCCCTTTAAAACAACGCTAATCTGGGGAAGTCCCAGGTAGGGATCCTTCATTTGGGAAAATATCTTGTCCGTTCTTCCGGCGCATCGAAGTGGGGGAGGGAGACAAAGCAACACCCCGCCCAGCCCAAGAAAAGATGTGAACAATGCCTGGCCAGCCGACACATAAGTTCAACATGTAAGCAATGGTCAGAACTGGCATCTGTGGAGCGTGGGGTGCCTCACAAGGTTCCGTTATCATGACCTAAGTTCCCTACTAGGTCCTCCAGTAGAGAGGTTAGAATAAGGGTACCCTTTTTCTGTAGTCTATTTTAGTAGGGGAAGCCTCCCCCAAAAAAGAAGCGGTAAAAGGGCACCTAGCTGGGGGACCTAGCCTATTCAAGGGTCGACGACCAGCGCTAGTCGCCTCAAGTGAGTCTTTTGAGCGTGGCACATGTGCGCTTTGAGCGCTGCTCATTCAAGCAAGCTTCGAGCTAGCAAAATGCCAAATGCAACTTGTGCGGAGGATTGGTGGCATGCTGAGCTAAAACAAGCGCCGGGTCTTGACACACTTTGCGCTCTGGAAGTGAACACCCAAAGGCCCCTCCTGGGCGGCGACATTTCCTTCTTCTTCGACGCTGGATTTCGCAACCTCTCCAACCTCACCACGTGCACGCCATGCGCATTGCCAGTGCAGTAAGTCTCGCGGGAATTTCCGTCCTCGTACTTCCCATAAGCAAATGACTTCTGCGAAAAGAGAGTCACACAACATGCCAACAGGCACCGTTGCAGGTGGCCTAGGGGGACATTTCAGGACTGGAATGCATTAGCCTCTCGCACGTCCGTTCAACGCTTGGTTTGCATGCCACGCCAGCCCAGGCACTGGTCACACTGCCTCCGCGTCGAACAGGCAACACTGGCTCTGTGCAACTCTCTGGACAAAGCTGCTCTGGATTTCATTGCCTACGATGCAGATGTTTGAGCAAGCATGAACAAAGGGTACATAAATCCCCCTTCAGTCCTTTAGGCTGAAGGGAACCAGAGTAAATCCCACGGAAAAAAAAAAAAAAAAAAAAAAAAAAAAAACGCTTTCTGTACAACGCTACTGGAAAGCAGTAGCCAGCTGCCATCTTTAAGAATCAAAGCCACCAAACTTCAACAGACCTCACCTCTGGAGAGGATGCACTCTGCAAAAGGATGCACTCTGCAAAAAGCAAAACAGGTCTGTGGGCTCCCTGAGGGAGCCACAGCTCGTCAGATCAAGCATATCAAGTATATCGTGTCTTGCCTGTTGAACAATCGTTTTGAGAAGGGAAAGGGACAATTATCACTCAGTTGCAGAAAAAACAAAACAGAAATAGAAGGTTCACCTTCTGGGGCCATGACCACAAATGGACCAAAATGGGAAAACCAAAAACCAAAAGGTCGATTCGCTTTGGACATCTGAGATCAGTCGATTTCAAGTCACGGCCGGAAGGGTCGGCTGAGGTCCGCTTAGGTCCCGGCGCGGCCTTCTGGCGGTCAGCTTTGGTGGGCAGCACGCCCACCTGAGTCGAAGCCAGGATGCTCTTTTTGGGGAATCCCTAAAGGGGAGATCCAAATGAACACCACAACTTCCCGAGAGATTCAAGTCTGCAGCTGGTATGGAAGGGCAACCTAAGTATACCTGCCTACCTGCCTTCTGCGGAAGAGATCCAAAGTTTCGGGGCTCTCATGGGTAAGCGCGATCTGCAAGGTGAGCTCACCATGGGTATCTTTCTTCCCACACATGTAGACACAATGCGGGTCACCAGTCCATCAATTCAGATCAACTCAGATACAATTGCGCCAAAACACCTGTTGTCCACAACTCTAAAACAATCAATGCTCTTAGAACTGGGGCGGGGGGAACAGTGTCCCCTGCCCCCCGCCAAGGCGTACCTGAAGCTCAAGACATCTCAAAGTGATATGATCTCGAAAACAATATGCGCGTAGTGTCAGCGTGATAAAACGTGATTGCTGGTTGCAAGTGAGCATTTGGAGCATGACTACTGTTGTTCAAACGGGTTTCCGGATGTGGATGTTTCCTGAACAAGGGGATCCCTGCAAACCCAATTGTTTGGATGCTGTGCCATATCGTGTGAGTGAATCTAATAACACCATTGTCTACTGCAATGGCCGTTTGTCATGTTGGCCAAACAACAGAAACAAGCAGAAACAAATGGAAATCACTGGGCAAGCGGGTCACACACACCAGACACATCCCTATCAAGTCATTGTCTGGGCTGTTCGAAACAAAGGATCGGCCTGTCCTAATTCAAAAGCCGTGCGGACACAGGAGGAAGCAAAACCTTTCGTAACCTAAAGGAAAGATCTTGCAGATTGCCCCAGATCTGGTGTGGTTCTTGGCGCCTTTTTGGGACAGATTTTGGCATGTATCCAAAGGAACCCAATACCACTTTCAGTGGGCCCCGACATGTTCAAGCAAGTTGTACTGTCTATAGTCTAAAAGGCAGACACCATGGATGCGCGAGGATTCCCTCTCTGCCCGGAAAATTGTGCATCACCCTGAGACGGCGCTTGATCTAAAGAGCAAAGCCCCCAGGAAAAAACAACTAAAACAACACAGCTAACATAAAATGGAGAAAGGGCAAGCCGCAGCCCCACTTTTTGTTTGGTCTGGCGAAACATCTGCCTGTCCCTTGAAGCCAAGAGGCGGTGGTGAGGCTGTTCCGCGGCCCTGGACTCTGCACCGGAGGGCCTCGAGCTGACAAATGGATGGCCCCTGGCAAACGGAATAAATTTCATAACCAGCGCCATCTATGTCTATCCAAATTCAACGCTTAAGGTGACTTGTTGGTGGCTTGTTGGTGGGTTCGGTTCTTGGTTGCTTGTGTGCTGGATTGGTGGGTGTTGATTGTGGTTGTTGGGTTGTCGATTGGTTGGATTGTGTCTATGTATTGGTTGCCAGTGGCTGTTGGGTGTTGTTTGTTTCCCGGGGGTAGAGTCTGGGACTTCAAGGGGATTCTGTTGACAGGGACTAGGATCGTCTCTTTTTGGCGGGCAACAAACATGCGAAGAGTACAAAAAAGGTGTGGCCTCAAGCACATCTAGGGTCTTTACCCACACCGGGATGCCTCAAAATGGGAAAGTTTCAGTGGAAACCAAAAGGCAACCAGCCTCTTAGAGCGTCCCTTTTAAGCCACACTCGTACGGTCGATTCAGGTCCAAAAGTGCGAACCGGAAATATCAAGAACCACTTGCAGTCCAACGACCTCAAGCTGTGTGTGTTGGGGACGAACGGGCGTGCCAGACATGCATGTTGCTAACATGCAATTAGAACAAGATACAAATCGATTTCCAGCACGCACCTATCGCCGGGCTTGCTAGATGCGCGCCCACAGCCTGACAACCAAGTAGCAGTCATTGAAGGGGTCAATTCATGCGGGCTGTGCAGAATCACCACCCCATCACTCACAAGCGATCCGTGATCAAAAACTGCAGGTTGGCTGCTGAAGCTTGGTGCACGTCAGACTCGGGGCTCTTTTGGGTGCACACCATACCATGTCAGCCTCTTAGAACAAATTGCTGCATATTGGTTGCTTGCCTGTGTGAATTAGGCCGTTCTCCTCTTTTCAAACACAGGAAAAAGGCCACCTGCAGGTGCGACTTGTTTGGTTGTTGCTTTGTCACGAAAGGGATGTCGCCTGTCCATGTCCCAACACGGGGGATGGTAAAGGCCGCATGAGGCTTGGCACGAGTCCGATAAGCCCATAGGGAGGATCTAAGAGACCTCCACGAACAGAGGCATGAATAGCAAAGATTCTTAGATGCCACGAAGCAACTGAGGCTCGACACACTTCAAGCCATCCAATGCCAAGCTCTCCAAGTGAGGCTGTCCGTAATCTCAAGACCGCATTGAAATGGACTCATTGCTTGCTCAAGGGAGCCGCCTCTTCCGATGAACTGGCGCATGGACAAGGGGTGTGGAAAACAAGCATTGTCTGGTGGCTGCTTTCTGGACAATCAGAAATACTCCCTGCAGATTCGCGTTGAACTCAAGGCTCCCATCGGGGGGGACCCCTTTTTGGATTCAGGAGGTTATATGAGTTATATGCGTTTCACAAGGCACCCTTCACCTCTCTGGGCACCCACGCTCTCAGACGTGGACACCGCCGCTGCTGAACGGCGGCGCCCATAGACGTCCAGGCCTCTTGCAAAGACAGTTTGTTTGCAGATTCTGACGCCTGGCCGCCTCTGTTTAGTTGGGATATTGGCCCGGGAGGCTGTTTTGTACATACATACACACATGTAAAAATGTATATATATAAATATGTATATGTATATATATATATATATTGTCACGTGACCTATGTCAATTGTTCATAAATGATCACACAGCTAAGATGCTCCTTCATGATAACAGTTGAAACCTGTTTTTCACGTATGCTGAACGACATGCCAGAGGAACAGGCAAACTTGAGATACGGACGTTCCCTTTTTAAGAGTAGCTTGTTTAGACAGGAGGTATGTGTTAAAATAGGGGGACCTCCAAAATTGTGTTCTTTTTGGTTCCCCTTTAAAACACTTCAAATTGAGAAACCCACACTCGGTCTCTATTGTTTGGCGGGGTTGCCCTTGTTTGCTTTCAACCCCTGCTTCCTGGAACATGTGGTCAACTGTGAAACATGTGGTGGATCCAAAAGCAGTTCGGAACCCAATGGTAGACCCTGTGCATTGTTAGTTTCATTTGACCGGGGTTAACAGGAACCAGTTCCAGCAAGGCATCCCTTTGTTTTGGGAAGCCATGGCTAAGCCTCTTGGCTCCGGACCACCCTTGGCTTCCTCGATGAGCTCCTGGCGGCTCTTTGTTTTGATTGGAACAAAAGGACACCAATGTTGGGAGTCCTGTTTTGCACCCGACGTACCGACCTCATGGAACAGGTGATGGTTTGTGTTGCGCCTGGTTGCAGTATAGTCACTGGTTGGTCTAGACTGATCCAGTCGACCTCTGCCATCTGTCTAGTACATTTCTCGCGTGTGTCCAGCTGTGTTGCATTGTTGCGGCATATCCCCAACACTATTGTAGTATGAATCCTGCATAATATGTCTGCCAAGTGTTTGGCACATTTCTTGGGTTCCTTTCTTGTTGCAACCCGATCGCAGCCGTATTGCAACTGTTTTTGCGCCAAGCTTGCCACGTTTGCCTTATATTGGCAATCTACGCTTGGCTGGAACAGCCAACCTGAATGCTGCCACCCTCAGGCACCTTGCAAAGGGGTGCGAGGCGTTTCAAGCCATGGCTAAACTGCCAGCCTAACTTCAATTGTTGCAGGTTGCTTGGCAACTTCACCTCCTGCAAGCTTCGATTCAAGCTGCTCACCCTCGGGGTCCTGAGACTCTGTGAGCGTTCATTCACTTCCTGCAAGCTTTGGTCAAATCTCATTCCGAAGTTCAGGCTCCGCAAGTTGGAGGCTAGGATCACCCCCTTCCAAGTTCTGGTTGAAGTCATCCCCAACTGATAGGTGCAAGTGCAAACCTGACACGGGTTTAGGCACTGGCGGGGCGACAGCCCATATGTAGTGAGCTCCAGCTGAAGGTCAGGCTCTCAAGCTTCGGTTAAAGTGATCCCGCAGCGCTGTGCTCTTCAAGTCCTTGGGCAGACTCAACTCCTGGAAGCTCTGGTCTGAGGCGTCAAAGGTCAAGTTCTGCAAGCTGACCGGCATGGACACGCCCTGCACAACCTGGGCAAAGGATACGCCAAGGCTCAATCGCTGGGGCAGCATCCCTGGCTGTCGCACTTGGGACTGCAGATCTGCCCGACAGGCCCTGCACCCGCACGGCTTGCTCGTCCGTCTCGCAGCCTGTCTTCGGGTCCCCGTAGTGAGTCGGGTTGGCGAGCGTTGCCACCTATGCATGCTTGACTCTCAAGCCCCCAACGCACTGCACAATGTGCCCCACATTCAAGTCGATCGTCAAAATCAACATTGATCTTGATTGGGTGAGAGTAGCCATGCAGCTCTGCGCAACGTGTTGTAGGTGCACAAGCCCGTGCCCATGATCTTCTGGCACGAGCCAACGCCTATCATCAGCCAAGCTACGGCGTCTCATGGAATGCAACAAGTCTCCACCTTCCTGCCATTGACATCACCAACAGACATCCGGAACGAAAGCAAAGACAATGTGTCAGAACAACTGGTCTGTCCCTCGGGCAACCCGGACTGATGTGTGATGGAGCCACAAAAGCTCTGCAGGCTGGGCAAAGCCAGCCCCTGCAAGTTCTGCTTCAGCTGGTCCCCGAAGCCTTGCAAGTTCCCAGGCAGCGTCACCTTCTGCAAGCTCTTGTTGAATTTGTGCCCTAAATGCAAGCCTTGCAAGGTGATGGGCAAAGGTACCCCTTCCAAGCCTTGCTTGAGTCGCTTCCAAACTTCAGCGTTCGCAAGTTCGCGGGAAGATTTACCCCTCGCAAGCTCCGGTTCCACCTGTCCCTGAGTGTCAAGTCCTGCAAACTGCTTGGCAAGTCAAGCTCCTTCAAACTCTTCCTGCACTTGTGGGGCAAGGTCAGGCTCCTCAAGCCATCTGGCAGCATCACGCCCTTCAAACTGATGGCAAGCAATCCCAACGACAAGTTGTTCAAAGTGGCCGGCCATGACACCTGCAAGCTGCTGAAATCTCTGCCAACTTCCAGACTCTCCAAGTTGCTTGGCTTTCTAAGCCTTCCGGGAAAGTAATCCCCTGCACCCTGTCGTTGAACTCCCCGGCAAGGCTCAAGTTTCGCAAGCTCTCGAGCGTCAGCTGCAGACCGCGGCTTTCTCCCCGACGTCTGTGATCCCCTCCAAGGCCTTGCGTCATTTTGAGGTTCGGGGAAGGGGTCCCCGTTGGGCAAGTTCAATGTCACCTCGTTGCAAGGCATCCCATGCATCCACCCTGACTCAAGTGAAGGTGACCGTCACCTCTGCCCGGCCCTCGGTGGCAGGTCTAAATGGTCTGGGCTACACTCCAGGCGCAGCTCCCGCCCGTCCAGGCACCGGAAAAATGAAATCGAATGGGAAGATGGGGTGGGGTTGCTCAGCACTGCGCGTGTCTAGTCTGTGCCTTGAGTTCTAGATATGTTCAGTAGCATAGTTGTGCCTGTCTAGCTTATGTCTAGCATATGCCTAGCTCAGTCCTAGCCGTGGAGTGCCGTGCGTCTGCCATGTTCTTGGCATATTATGATTTCCATGTCTCGAGCATATCACAGACATTGATGCAATAATGCGAGCAAGTGTACTGCTTGTCCCAAGCTTCACCCTCCCACCAATTGACATAGAACCTGACGTTCTGGGGGTCCTGGTTTGGACCATTTTCCTTTTGAAGGGGGCGGACGTCAGAACCAGAGTGACAAGGCTGGGCAAACATCTCCATCTCTCGCTCTTTCTCTCTCTTGTCAGGTTACGGTACTAGGTCCTCCAGTAGAGAGGTTAGAATAAGGGTACCCTTTTTTCTGTAGTCTGTTTTGGTGGGGGAACCCTCCCAACCAAACAAGTTGGTAAGAGAAGGGCACCTAGCTGGGGGACCTAGTGTTGGCACATTGGTCCGAGCGGTTGGGTCGGAGCCCCAGGAATCGTGGACCTTGAAGACTCTCTAGGCCCGCTGCTTTGAAAACCCCCTCATCCAAATGCTTCCCAAAAAACACACAGCCGCACCCGTTATACCACGTCTTCGCTTGGCATCGCACCCTCGCCTCGCTGCGGTCGATGGGGCGCTCGTCCCGCTCGAAGAAGCCGCCCCCGCGGCCCAGGCCCTGCAGGGCGCGCGCCTGAGAAGGCTGCGTTCGCGTCAATCAGCTCAGATGCCCAGTGGATTTCCATGGGAAAAAAAGGGCATCCAATTTTTTGGTGGGTTGAGTTTAAAGGGGAACCCTTCCTTAAAACAAAAGGAACAAGGGCACCACTGGGCAACTGGGTAAGAGGAAGTGGGTTTGGAGAATCCTCAAAACTGCGCGTCAATCAGAGGAAGTGGCTGTGGCTCGAAGAAGTGGTACCAAAATGGCACCTTGGTACGTGGAACCAAAGACTAAAACCCGCGTAACCCCAGCTCTTCCATTTTGAGCCATCCCCCAGTCGGTTTGGAGAATCCTCAAAGCTGGAGACAACCAAAAGCGCCCAAAGCATGGTCAGGAAGCGCTTCTAAAACCAATGATCTTCCACGTGCCACGGGGAAGTATGGTTGGCAAATCAATGTGTTCACAGCCAGCCCCAACCACAAATGAACGCAAATGAACAGCAACAACCGATTCGAAGGTCAAGAAGAAGAGTTCAAACAACATATCGTTTCTCACTGTTTTGTTTTGATTATATAAGCTTTCACCAAGTGCAGCGGATAGTCACAAGACCAGAACCAGTGAACAAAGCAAGCCCTACAAACACAACAAGTAGCGGTGCTCCGTAGATTGTAGATGCTTTCTATATTTTGTTGAGTTGTTTGCTTGTGGGCTGTTGTTCGCTTGCTTGATTGACTGCGTGATGAATATTCGGTCGTACGCTGTTGCACGTGGGTCCATTTGCAGCGCTTGCTTGTGACCTTCTTGGCAGAATGCCTTTGCAAGTAAATCAAAGTAGGTGTTCCCCACGTCTTCTGCCGTGCGAGGGGATTTCAGGTCGACAATGATGGGCAAATTCTGGCTAACATTCAATTCATGGAAAAGCACGTTGATTTCTATTGGCTCAAGCGTTGAGAAGGCTTAAATGGCGGCCAGCAAATCTGAAGTACCTTCCAATTCCTGGGCCCCCAGCCTGCTGCCTTACCAGCCGCTCTTCACTCCGGATGTGCGAGCACTTGGTACAGTGCGTGCCTCAAGCCACGCGTTTGATGGTGTTTCAAGGGAAACAACACCTGCCAAGCTTTAGGGTCTTGAAATCAAACTGGACTCACCCTGCAAACATGTCCTGTACTCGAAACAACCAGCTTCTCCAAACTGCATGCATACCAACTTGTAAGGTAGCCCACCCTGCCTCCCCAGTCTTTCCAGCAAATGATGATTTTGAACGCGGCCCCAACACGGGCTACGTGTCGTTGAGTGAAGCATTAAAAGTAGGAAGGACCTGAGAGTGCTGGCATGACCTCCCAATGCGACAAAAGAAACACACAAAGAGAACGAGAGAGAGAGAGAGAGAGAAACACACACACACACACACACACACACACACACACACACACACACACACATCACGCCGTTGTCTTCGCCAACAACCTGGTATTGGCGTAGGTAAAACCGTTGAAAAAAACACACCCGGTCGGCTCATGACGAGGTTGTCTCGATTTCCTTGAGATCGAAAACACAGAGGCGTCTGACAAAGCAATGAATGACAGCTCCAAGCGCTGAAACATGAACGCCCCACGAAAGGATCTTGATCCTGATCAGCTTGTTGACCCCCAACAAGTTTGCTCCATTTCGGTCAAAATAATGAAGTATGCGGTGCTGTAGCGACGTTTTCCAATGCTTCTCGCGCGTGCCTTGGGTCTGTTGCTGTCTGTCATCAGCCACAGGCCCCCGGCAGGACGCCACGTTGGGAGTGCCACAGTCGCAAATCCTCGGAAGCGCCCTCATTCCAAAACGAAGGTACCATGAACTCATGGCTTTCCGTTTCAGGAGGCTAATAAACAACTGCACACATTTTGCAATAATCATGGCTTTGGAGTCGAACCCCACAACCGCCGGGTCATCATGCAGGGTCCTAGAGAATCCACGCTTGCGCCTGGGTTGAATGCAACTTTCCAGCCCTTGGTATGGCATTTGTTGGCGCATACTTAAAATGGACAGAACCAAAAACCCAAGGCACAGAGCCCTAAAAAAAGGCACAGAGCCCTAAAAAAGGCAGAGAGCCCTAAAAAAGGCACAGAGCCCTAAAAAAGGCACAGAGCCCTAAAGAAGGCACAGAGCCCTAAAAAAGGCACAGAGCCCTAAAAAAGGCACAGAGCCCTAAAAAAGGCACAGAGCCCTAAAAAAGGCATAGAGCCCTAAAAAAGGCACAGAGCCCTAAAAAAGGCACAGAGCCAGAAAACGAAGAACCTAAAAACCTGATCCACCCGAGGCAAAGCATCCTGTCTCTGAGTCAAAGGCCAGGGTGGTCCGACCTCCTTGTTATGCTTCTCCTCGGCGCCCGGGGGAGCGCCCACGCCCATCGGTATATCTTCGTTTAGGGGTGGCTTTTTTTTTGATGGCCCTGTAAAAACCAAAAAATGGGGGGGGGGGGGTACCTTACAACAATGGCTCAATTCCATAGCGACCCCTGGGGATACCCTACCAAGCGTTTTTTTCACTGAACCTAAAACATTGTGGCTTGAAAAAAGAGTCGGGAACCAGGCAAGCCTTCCTTCGGATGAACATGGGTGGAACAATCAGCGCTGGAAATCCCAAAAGGCTATGGTTTGCATCCAGCGCTTGAAGCTTCGACCCAATCGGCTTGCTTCCCGGTTATCGCACAAAATTGATGCTTGATCAGTGGTTGTTACCTGGAATCCAATTGCAGACTCGAGCCGCACCTTCATGAATGTAGCGAATGGACACATATTAGGATGTTCTTTTTCAGAGTGGAATGGTAATCTATGGGATCACAAGTCGATACAATTCACACTCAAACATGCTCAAAGCAGGCCATGCCTGTTGCATATCCACGGTAAAGACAGCCTATAGAGATCTAGGTGACCGTGGAGTTGTTTTCATTTGGGGGTTTGATCACAAGCTTTGACAAACATGATTGTTAGGGAAAACCACCAAACATTGAATTGTCCACTTTCACCATGGGCAAAAAGCTGCCATGGTCCTTTTGGGCAGGCGAGGGGAATGTTTCGATCCACTCCCCCCGAACAGCAGGGTTTTTTGGGTCGGCCGACCATGTGTTTTCGTTGCTTTGGGGGGAACGAACTGTTGGTGGAGTCCCAACTGCATTTCGTTCCCGCTGACCCCATCCCCGAACGACGCTGCAACGGAGCCGAAGGCGAGAAATTGGGCCTGGTGGGCGTTCTGCACCACAGGGCTTGGAGCGCCACCTAACCGGAAAGGGCGCTCGGCTTGACG